CATGCCAACTAACGGTTGTGTCTGACGTACCCACCGACCGTTGGCTGTAGGTGTCAGAGGTGACCTGGGAAAGAGGAAGACGACCGAGCCAACCAATCGATGACGGCAGGGTTGTCGGTGGAGACACGACGCTGGATGACACCGGGAGCAATGGCCTCTGGCTGCGACTAGTGCTGCCTCGACCCCTTCCTCTGCTGCCACGTCTGCTCGCTCCTAAAACATTGCCTCCTCTGCCACTCCTCTGCATGTTGTCTGACATACTCTTTATTCAACGATTATGTGTCCCTGAGTAACAATTCTGTGTCCCTGAGTAACAATTCTGTGTCTGTCCCTGAGTAACAATTCTGTGTCCCTGAGTAACAATTCTGTGTCCCTCAGTAACACTGTGTCCCTCAGTAACACTTCTGTGTCCCTCAGTAACAATTCTGTGTCCCTCAGTAACAATTCTGTGTCTGTCCCTGAGTAACAATTCTGTGTCTGTCCTGAGTAACAATTCTGTGTCCCTCAGTAACAATTCTGTGTCCCTCAGTAACAATTCTGTGTCCCTCAGTAACAATTCTGTGTCTGTCCTGAGTAACAATTCTGTGTCCCTCAGTAACAATTCTGTGTCCCTCAGTAACAATTCTGTGTCCCTCAGTAACAATTCTGTGTCTGTCCCTGAGTAACAATTTTGTGTCTGTCCCTGAGTAACAATTCTGTGTCTGTCCCTGAGTAACAATTCTGTGTCCCTCAGTAACAATTCTGTGTCCCTCAGTAACAATTCTGTGTCTGTCCCTGAGTAACAATTCTGTGTCTGTCCCTCAGTAAACAATTCTGTGTCTGTCCCTGAGTAACAATTCTGTGTCCCTCAGTAACAATTCTGTGTCCCTCAGTAACAATTCTGTGTCTGTCCCTGAGTAACAATTCTGTGTCTGTCCCTCAGTAACAATTCTGTGTCTGTCCCTCAGTAACAATTCTGTGTCCCTCAGTAACAATTCTGTGTCTGTCCCTGAGTAACAATTCTGTGTCTGTCCCTGAGTAACAATTCAGTGTCTGTCCCTGAGTAACAATTCAGTGTCTGTCCCTGAGTAACAATTCTGTGTCTGTCCCTGAGTAACAATTCTGTGTCTGTCCCTGAGTAACAATTCTGTGTCCCTCAGTAACAATTCTGTGTCCCTCAGTAACAATTCTGTGTCTGTCCCTGAGTAACAATTCTGTGTCCCTAAGTAACGTTTCTGTGGCCCTAAGTAACGTTTCTGTGGCCCTAAGTAACGATTCTGTGGCCCTAAGTAACGTTTCTGTGGCCCTAAGTAACGATTCTGTGGCCCTAAGTAACGTTTCTGTGGCCCTAAGTAACGTTTCTGTGGCCTAAGTAACGTTTCTGTGGCCCCTAAGTAACGATTCTGTGGCCCTAAGTAACGATTCTGTGGCCCTAAGTAACGTTTCTGTGGCCCTAAGTAACGTTTCTGTGGCCCTAAGTAACGTTTCTGTTGCCTAAGTAACGATTCTGTGGCCCTAAGTAACATTTCTGTTGCCCTAAGTAACGTTTCTGTGGCCCTAAGTAACTGTGGCCCTAAGATTCTGTGGCCCTAAGTAACGTTTCTGTGGCCCTAAGTAACGTTTCTGTGGCCCTAAGTAACGTTTCTGTGTCCCTAAGTAACGATTCTGTGGCCCTAAGTAACGTTTCTGTGGCCCTAAGTAACATTTCTGTGGCCCTAAGTAACGTTTCTGTGTCCCTAAGTAACATTTCTGTGTCCCTAAGTAACGTTTCTGTGGCCCTAAGTAACGTTTCTGTGTCCCTAACTCTCTCCCCTCAATTACAGCCAGGTCTGCCTCTCTTGAATGACTGGAGGCAAATGGAGAATTGTAAAATGGCCGCCATTTATAGCTCGACCATTACACAGTGCTGGCTGGCTGGCTGCTGATTGGCTAATGCGATCACATGTCATGAATGAATGCATTATGGGTCAGCGCGCCTTGTCTGCGCGCCTTCCCAGACATCCCCGCTCCGTCGCCGCCATTTTAGGAAAAGTTTTGATTCGTGCATCCGAAGTATGCTAATTTTCGGATTCGTCGCGAATCGAAATTTTCCTAATATTCGAAACGAATTCCACTTTGCCGAGTTCGATTCGCTCATCTCTAATAATAATCAGCTTTTATATATTTATGTACAATATTTGTCCCAAAAGGAAAAAAACTGTTTGTTATAACTGATTTTAAAGTGTGAGCTAGAGTTTGGCTTCAATGTACTATTGTATTCAAATCTGATAATACATTTGACACTCCCATTCTCCCAGAATGACAATGCTGCTGTCTGCTGTGTCCTGTTCTCTTCCTCCAAAGTGGTGTCTCACTAATACAGGAGGTGTGTTACTGGCCAGATCATCAAGTGAAAACAAAGGTAAAAAGCCAAAGAAAACTAATGCAGCCACCATATCTAATGATTTGCAAGCTGCAATATAATAAATGTTTTGGTTTGGGGTTCAATACTGTTTAAAACACACATTAACATGAGCCATCACTGTTACTAATGACATTATCACAGTAAGTTCATTCAGTATATGCAACTGCTGGTACACATGTGAATATGCAAGTACCTATACATAACTGTAGAAAAATAATTTCAATGGACACAGAGGGTTTATTTACTAAAGCTGGAGAGTGCATAATCAGGCTCACTTCTGTGTAGAAACCAATCAGCTTCAAACCTCAGCTTGTTCAATTAAGCTTTGGCAATAAAACCTGGAAGCCGATTGGTTTCTATGCAGAAGTGAGCCTTATTTTGCACTCACCAGCTTTAGTAAACAAACCCCAAGTGGTTAAATTAGTAAGTCTTGGACATCACTGCAAAAGACTGCATGTTGTTAATAATGTTCATTTCTTTTTAACACTTAAAATGCCAGAGGGAATAACATTGTATTAATAGCTTTATTAGTCATTTGGTGAAGTCTAATTATATTTCTAATTACAGATCTATTTTAAGTGTTAGATGAGTCTTCAAAATGCAAATGCATTTATGGCAAAGAGTAAATCTTATTCATCTACGCTGTTACTGTCCCTTTTGTGTTATGCCTTGAATAATATTGTATTTTTTGCTATTCACTTCTCTTTCTATCGTTTCTTAAAATGGTGTCGTTATATTTTATTAATATCATTATGTTTATGTTAATTGGTTCCTTACTTAGCTTTTTTATATGATGGCTACAAATTTCTAGTTTGAAAAATGTTAACCTATTCTCATTTTTTTTCTGTCCTGACAAGCTCATGGCAGATTCAGTGCATAACTTTTCAAAAGAAAAAAATAGAAATAGATTAAATGTAAAATTGTATAAAACAAAGAACTCGGCCATGTACAGATAACATTCTTGTAAAAGCATAACATGTTCCTATGCATTAATCATATGCCTATTAGAGGTAATATTTATCCCAAAAGAAAAACATCTAAATCGACTAGTCCATCTAGTCCATCTAACACTACCAAACAGGTTGACAATGCTACAGATACAGTAGAGGTGTAAGGCACCCTAAGGCAGAGAATGTGTGGATCACCAGATGTTTTCACCAGCAAAGCTTTAACCAGCTGCCAAGCTTTAGTGCATGGTCCTGCACCCCAGGAGTGAAGGAGAGGTTCTGAGATGGGATCATGTACTGAAACTGATTAAAAATTTGCCTGTCAAGACATCATCAATGTATGGCTATTCCTTTGGATTATATTAAATATGAGAGTTGCCATTAAAGTATAACGGCGTTTTCACAGAAAAACATTTTTTTTTATATTACTGTCAGAAAAAAAGGATTGCATTATTTTTATGTTGACTACGTGAATAGCTAGGTGCTGCAATAGTCATATGACAAAGATGAAAATAAAAAATAAAGTGAACTATCAATAACATCAAACAAATAGTATTCCTGAACAGAATATGATGAGTAGGGAACGTAATGTATTATAGTGACAGTCCCTTGGAGACCAAACATATGCTCATTCACCATGTGCAGACAATAAGTGAATTTGTCACTCACTAGAAGAAGTTGACCCCTGTTAAGGTGGTCGAATATCACTCTGTTATCATTAATATTGACGACCAGCAACAGGCTCTCCTGGATCAGACCTTCCGGTCTCCTAATAAAAGACATAAGACTCTGGGTACATGGTGGATAGATTCACAATCCCAGGCTAATGCTCCAAGCGGCTTAGGTAGCAATCTTTATCGCAAGTCCACTGCAGGTAATACCATTTTACATGCTAACAGCTTTCATCCAAGCTCTCTTGTAAATTCCATTCTTGGAAGTGAAGGCTTCTGGGAAGTTACCTACAGGAAGTGAATGCTGAGATATTATCTAGAAAATAATGCAATCTGAAAATCCATTCAAAATCTTACAGAAAATGACAAGACATTAAACGTCCTGTGGATAAGGACTCATAATCCAAGAAATTAAGTCTAATGCGTAAATATTGGCTGTAAGGAATGGAATTTACAAGAGAGCTTGGATGAAAGCTGTTAGCATGTCAAATGGTTTTACCTGTAGTGGAGATAGATGGTGTAAGATAGAATGCACTGCTACCAAAGATGAGTGGGGGTTTGTGAGCATTAAAATTACATCATCTGCAAACAAGCTAATTTTGTGTTCATTAGAATCTATACGGAATCCTGTAACTATTGATGATGACCTAATGTTTTCAGCAAGGGGTTCTATAGCCAAATTAAAGATGAGGGATGACAAGGTGTAGCTCTGACGCGTTCCATTTGTTATCTGAATGAAATATTGAGGTGTCTAGATCATTTCAGCCACATATACTTGAGCTGATGGCAGACATTATTCTATGGTTGAACCCATATTTAATAAGTACTGCTCTCAAATAGGCCCAGTGAACCCTGTCGAACAACTTCTTCATGTCTAAAGATAGGAGCAGAGAAGATGCTTTAGAACTTTCTGCATTATGGACTATATTTATTAACCTCCTGGTGGCATCTGAGGATTGGCAACCTGTGATGAATCCCATCTGATCTTTGTTGATCAAGGAAGGCATTATGTGTGTTAATCTATTAGTCACCATCCTAGCATATATTTTTTATATCCGTATTGAGGAGCGGAATGGGCCTAAAGCAGGGGTGGACTGACAACTCATGGGGCCCCCGGGCAATAGGGGATCATGGGGCCCCTGTGTCCTTGCCCAAACTCAAAAAAGCCTATGAAAAAGGTACCAGGGGCATCTCATGGGGCCCCCTACTGACCCCGGGCCCTCAGGCAGTGCCCGAGTTTCCAAATGGTCAGTCCGCCCTTGGCCTAAAGTTTTATGCAGTGTTGGGTTCTTTCTCCAGTTTAGGCAGGGTGACCACTAAAGCAGATAACATTTCCTTAGGAAAGGAAGAGTTGGAGGCAGCTGCATTGAAAATGTTACACAGATTTGGAGCTAATAGAGATTTAAATTGATGGTAATATTCCCTTGGGATTCCGTCAGGACCTGGGGCCTTGTGAAATGGCAGAGTTTCTATATTTTGAATTATTTTTTGGATGGTAAAGGGTAATTCAAGGCTTTTAATTTGGTCTGTAGTAAGGTAGAGGAGTTGAATGTTGGCTAGAAACTCTTGGATATGATTTTTGGTTGGTTGAATTGTGGATTGGTCATTTTGGAGATTATATAGGGATTCACAGTAGGAACTAAAGGAATTGGCCATATCTTGGGGGTTTATGATTTTTGCTTTGGTAAAAGGATGTAAGATATAGGGAATCTTAGCTTTCATGCGTTGCCCTCTAAGGCATTGAGTCATAGCTTTTCTTGCTTTGTTGCTAGTGGGATAGGAAGTAGCTTTAAGTTTATGATGAGTTTTCTTGAAGGAGTTGAGAAGTAATGCTCTAAGTTCTTGACTCATAGCTAACGATTTTAGTTTAAGATTATGGCTTGGAACAGTTTTACTCTGTGATATTAATTGCACTAATGATCTTGTCCAGCTCTGTGTCTTCCTCTTTTTAACCAGAGAGCTTATACTTAAGCAAAACCCCTCAGATGAAAATCTTATGGGCTGTCCATAAAGTAGCAGGATTGACCACTGATCCAGTATTATGGTGAAAGAAGTCGGAAAGTTGTTGTTGGATTAATTCTGCATAGGGGGAAGATTGCAAAATGAAAGTGTTGGCTTGCCATAATTTGGTGGAGTTAGTGGGCTTAGATGTGGCAATGGTGATGGTAGTTGGTGCGTGGTCGCACCACGTAATAAGGTCTATGGAAGAAGCAGAGATTTATTTTAAAAGCCACTTGTTGATCAAAAAATTAGTTGTATGATGAAGAGAAAAAGGTGTAGACTCTTTTGCTAGGATGGTGGTATCTCCACAAATAGTAGAGATTGTTAGGTATTAAAAACTTTTGCATCAAAATGGTGTGCTTTTCTGTAGAGTTGGATGTTTCTATGTTGTAATCAGGGGCACCATTAAAGTCGCCACAGAGAATTAATGACCCCTGTTGCAGCTTGTGGATTTATCTCATAAGCTTGTTAAGGAAGTGAATTTCTCAAGATTTTGGAGCAAGCTAGGGTACATTTGATATCATTTAAGGTGCATATCAGGATGATGTGTCGACCATTAGGGTCAGCAACTTTTTCATGTAGTTGCAAAGATATATTGTGCCTGATCACCACTAAAACTTCCCTTTTTTTCTCTGGGCTGCTTGCCAGGTATATATATGGGAAGTCTTTATGATTGCAAGTGGGGGTGGCAGATTCCTTGAAATGTGTCTCTTGAATACAGAAGATGTCGCACATTGATTTTTGTGCGGATAACCATAGTGAAGAGCATCTCGCTGGGTGATTCAACCCTTTGGCATTCAATGAAAGAATTTTGATAGCCATGGTGACGTAGTGAAGGGCTGACTATTAGAAACACTTATGGTTAGATGAGTGTTAGTGATTCCAAAGCTTGTAGATGAAGAGGTCAGGAAGAGAGATTTTCACCATGGAATCCAGGGCACATTTGAATACAGAGTGATGATGCTCCAATATGAGACAGATGTTGTGGTGCATGAAGAGCAAAGAGACAAAAGATACAGTAAAACTGTTAAACAAATATGGAATAACAAGCATCCAGAGAAGTAGATGTTAAGTTGCATCTCGTGGAGTGGGGGAAAGAGTTCCATGGTACTAGTACTGCAGTGGGAGAAAGGAATGCAGCTGGTTTCCATAAAATATTCTGTAGATGAGGATCAGCAGATCCTTTATCTGGACTTCTGATTTGCTTTATACCAGATAGGAGATATTTTCCCTAGTGTTTTGTGAGAGCCGTTTGGAGGAGATTGATCTGGTACTATGTCCCAGTCTCTGAGTAGGGACAATCCAGCTTCTAGAGATGTGATAATGTATGTGTTGCCATTACAGTCCACAGTGAGTTTAGTGGGGTGGTCCCATTTGTAACTGATGTCATTACGAAGTGTTTTTTTTATGGTGTTGAGTTGCCTCCTAAGATCCATAGTCAATTTTGAAAGATCTGTGAAATTTGAATGGCATCATAGGTTTTGGGAGTTTGCCCAGGGATCTTGATTTTTTTTTCAATATTTGATCATTTGTTGGGAAAAAATGTATTAGCATGAGGATATCTCTGGGGACCGAGTCAGGAAGGAACAATGGTTTTGGTATACGCTGTATACGGTCTATCGTGCGATTCATAGGTGAGAGATCTGGGAGCAGTATAACAAACATATCTTTAGCGTATTGTAAGAGCTGAAGAGATTGGACTGTTTCAGGTACAAGGTCTTTAAGGTCTGAAATTTTTGCTCTTAATCAATTTCTCTCATCTTCTCCAACCTCATTAGCACCTACTAGGTCATTGACAGTGGTGGTAATATCAGTTATAGCATTTTCAACTCCCAGAATAGCAAATTCCACTGAGATGTTGCTTGTGAGAGAAGTAAAGTCAGCATGTAGTGACTGTTGGAGGGAGATAAGCATGTCTTTCAACAAGATGTCCATTACAGGTTGATTGGAGGTAGAGAAGGAGACAATAGATACATGTGTAGAAGTATTTGTATTATGTGGGGATTCCCCAAGACTCACCGCTGTGTCGTCTGGTGTTCCAGTGTCTAATCTCATCCTGGTTTTGGCAGGGCTTGCACATGGAGAGCTTGAAGTAGAAGCTAAAGACTGGGGTGCTGCTGTACTGCTGCATTTGAAAGGTCAGTGTAATGACCGCTGTAGCTAGGAGTGGAGGCAGGGGGCCGGGGAGTCGACGCCATCTTTACCGCTGCCACGAGAGCGCCGGAGGAAGAACTCTGTAAGTTTTTGTGGTTTCTGCTGTTCCTTGCACTTCAGCGACATCTCAGGCTGAAGGAGGGTGTATAGCCCAGGTGAGCGATGGGTAAATGTCGCTGTATCGGTCCCCCATTCACTGCAATCTCCCTTTCTGCTCTGGAGCTCCTGTGCAGGGGTGGACTGACATCTCATGGGGCCCCCGGGCAATAGGGGATCATGGGGCCCTTGTGTCCTTGGCCAAACTCAAAAAATCCTATGAAAAAGGTACCAGGGGCATCTCATGGGCCCCCCTACTGACCCCGGCCCTCGGGCAGTAGCCAAGTTTCCAAATGGTCAGTCTGCTGCTGCTCCCGTGTCAGGCTTCCATCTGCAGCGTGCGCTGGCCACGCCCTTGCCCCTGGATTTGAGGTTCTATTTTGTTGTATGTATGTGTGATGTCTGATTCATAGTACTGGTATTGGCTTACACTAGCTCTTTTAATTTCCTTTGATAGTCTTGCCAGCCTACGATGGAGCAGGTATATAGTAGCTTGTGGGTAGCCCCTGGATAGGCTGATGAAGAAGAATGCTTCTTCAGAACATGTTCCTGTGCATTCTGCAAGGTCTGACATCAGGTGGAGGGCAGTTCTTATCACGCAGAGCACAGTTTGTGCTTCCAAGTTAGGTGTCTCCATTACTTGAACTGGATAGCAGTGTCCACATGGTCAGATTGAGCTGCAGCTGATGCCCCTGGTCATGAGGTCAGGATAGTTCACTGATGACAATGACCCCAGCTTGTTTGGAGCACCTCTATTGTTGTCTCACTGCTTGATAGATGTTTCCCTGTAAGTACAATACATTATGTTAATGAAGTATTTCCTTTGTTTTAATACTACACTATATGGTCTATGTGCTGTGTATCCCCTTCTCCTTGTTTCATTTCATACAGCTGGAGATCCATCTCTCATACAGCAGCATTCTCCATGATATAGTATTAGTAATTGTATATTTAGTTTTGGGCTACCCACCAAATATATTTTATTAAATTTGTAATGTACTACTGCAAAGGTAAATTCCTTTATCATCATTTTATACTTTAAAAGAGTTTCCCTTCTGTCATGATCGCAGCATCAGACCCCAGACCTTCTCACCAAACTCGTGACTGAAGGACTAGCTGATCTAAAACCGCGATGTCACGTGCGTAACAATGCCACACCCAGCTGCACCCTGCACAATGATTTTCCAGCTAATTGGACCACAATTGATGTATCGGCAGCCTGAGTGATTGTTACTGGGTCAGGTTAATCACGCAATTAACCCTCACGGCCACCACCTCCTTTTTGTACAGAGAAAGAGGAAACTCGGCAATCTCAGCAATAACACTATAATGGTTGAGGTAATTGCCTGCATAACACGATTATACAGAGTAACACAATACAATATAACAAACACAGTAGCATTCTCTTTAGAGGCAGGAATTCGTAATTTGCAATAAAGCACTATAGAAACAGTTCAACACTTTTAGAAGGAAAGATTTATTACTAAAAGGTCAAACGGGTGCAATAAAAATATTTACAGAAAAGAGGTAACTAAGATATATATATAAACATACAGAGACCAACAGCACAGCAAAGAGATATCAGAGAGAGCTGAAAGGGTTAAGGTACTTGCCAAAGTCCTGGGTTAGCAGATCCAAGTTTCAGAGCAAAAGGGCAGGGGTCTCCCCAGGTGGTATTGATGTTAAAATGGGAGACGTCTTCAACTCACTTCTCTTAGGCCTGACAGCCCAATTTGTGGTTCCCCAACAGGGGGTGTCTCTGATGTCAAGGACCAATACCCTGTGTAGGGCATGGAGGTCTGGGTGTCAACCTAAACTAGAGCCAAAATCTTGTGTAGTTCATATTTGGGCTCATAACTTTTTCTATGCACAAGTGACATTCCACCCACAGGTAGATTATTATGCAGACACGTCTGAGGATTGATTAGAGATGAAATATGGAATTCTATACTGAACGGTTCATGAGATCTATTTTTCTGCTTTCCTGTGTATTCGAGACAAGGCAAGTGACTC